CATGGTTGTGTGAAAAACAAGCCCCGAGGGCTGGTTTCGAGAGATACCCAACGCCTCTCTCCTTCCCCCTCCTCCTCCACCCCGCCTGCAGCCGGTGCAACCCTCGGTTTTAACTTGCGAGCCCGCTCCCAACTTCTGCAAACAGAGTAAAGGGTCAGGTTCTCCAAACAGACGAAAGCAAGCATTTGTAACACCGAGATAGTTTAACGTAGAAATACGCAAGCGAAAAGGTAAAAAAAAAAAGCAACAGAAAAACAAAACAAAAAAAAACCAAAACCAAACCCAAACCAGGAGAGGGTTTCCGCATGAGCTCCTGAAATGCTGTGCCGGGAGGCACCTGCTTGCCGAGGCGCTCGGTGCCCCTTGTTCCCCCTCCCGACAAAGGTTCCCGCAGTTGGAGAGCTGAGAAATGAGTCCTGAAATAGTTCGTCACACATGAAACAGCCTCACTGGTTTTATCCTAAATATTGAATGTTGGCAAAGGCGTTTTTAAAAGCCGTGATTTTTAAGATCATTTGGAACGGGAACTAGAAAATTCAGTTCAGATCGTTCATATGCAGTCGATATCTTATTTGCATCTGACAAAAAAAAAAAGCGCTGAGTTCTATGAAGTATTTGCTAACAACCATTGCATGAATCAGGAGAGACAGAGAGTTTTTTTCTTCACATTGGCTTAGAAAAAAAATCACTCACGGTGTTTGATCTTTAGGATCAGGATATTATGTCAAACCAAATGATCATTCCCATGCTTTTTTTATTAATAAGAATGATTATAAGAAACTTAGAAAATACCGCATAATAACTCCAGTGAGGTGCCATATAGACTCATTTTCCAAGTGCTGTTAAGAACGAATCTAAATCTTAGTTTAAAAGGCCAATTTTGTTTGATTGATGCAGCAGAAGTAGGTAATTTAGATATGTGCCAGCACTGCAGCTGTGATACTGTTCTTACTTCTCTGGAAATGCCTTTTTTTTTAAGAGCTAGAGAATACAAAAAAGTACGAGATAACTTCAGTTAGCAAGTCTCAACTTATCTGTTTAGTCTTTTTTAAAATGTAAATGTTTGTATTTCTGTTTCCATTGTCTGTGACTTTTAACTCTAGTTTATTTTCTGGGCAGTGTAACTCTAATATTGTTTCTAATATTTTCTTCACGTGTCTTATCGCTGAGGTTGCCTTCAGTGTAATTTGAAAACGGTGGTTTAAAATATTTGTCCTGTAAGAGACAACTGACCCTGGATTCATGAAGGTTTTTTATCCCTTAAAATGCTAGCATATATTTCCTTAAATGAACATGCAAACATCTGGGTGCGGGAAATGCCCCGATTTTCCCCTTTCCCTTTCTTGTGCCTTTAATATATGTGCATACATTAAGGTTCTACGGTAACTTTTTAAGAACTGGATGAGAGTGTTGGGTTCACAGTTGCTGATCTTGTGAGCCATCCTGCCTTACGATGCAATGCTGTGCAGAAGACTTGTGAGCAAAAACACTTCAAGCAGGGACTAATTTACGCCAAGATCAGGGAAATTTGAAAAGTGCAGTGCTGAGTGTAGCATAGGCCACAGAAACACATTACAGCACACGGAGAGGAACAAAACCCCAAAAGCCTGGGCCGCGGAGGAATGGGAAAGAGGAAGTTGAAACAGATACATAAAGAGGGAATTTAGACACAGTGATTTTAATTTTGCTTGTGGAAGTGAAAACAAGTGTTATCGCTGACAAGTAGAAGAGCACTGAAGTGAGAAGTGGAGCCTCCTGTAGAAGGAAAGGCTGAGAAACACCTGAGGCTAGAGGTAGCTGTGGCTGGGGAATAAGCATCAGGTACAGATCAAGTAATGGGGCCGCTGATCCTGTTTGGGAAGAACAAGGGTGATTAGAAACTAATAGAAGTAAGACTGGGCTGTGACAAGTTTCAGCCAACTATAACTGCACGAATTTAAGCTAGAAAACGCTAAGAGGAAGGAAAAATATCAAGCTGCAACTCAGAGGACATGATGCAGGACTACTTCCTCTTAGAATGTGTAAAAGAGGAAATAAAACCTAGCTAGTTTTTTTCTCCCTCTTTTTTATTTTCTTTTTTTTTGGTAGTAGTAGTAGTCCTGAGGTCACTACTGTAGACTTAGATGGGGAAACAGCAATGGGACCTAAAAAATCGGTATGATAGGGAGCATAACTCAAGCTCCTACTTTTGCCAGAGTAAATCAAGAGACGCACCAAACGTCCATTCAAATGTAGCAGGGTAAAATTGTTTTGAGAATTCAGTCCTTCTCAGGAAGATAAGATAAATTCTTTTTTTTCATCATTTAACCAGTATGAATGTTGTAAGTACAAGTCAGAAGATTTAAGGTTAGAAATATAGACGTATATATACATCTCATCACATCTCATCAAAAATGCAGCATATCCCTTGTTCCTAAATATTTGTTTGACACATGCTGGCACCAAGGAGCTACAACACAAATGATTCAGACCAGGTGAAAGCATTTGCCTGAACAACTGCAGATTTCCTTAGTTCAGATGACAGTGTCCATCCGTCCGGTTGTGGGTGAGGTCTTAAGTCCATGTTTTGCTTTCATTCTAAAGGAAAAAAATATTCAGTAAGTTATGATTAAACATTTGATCAAGGCCATCCTTTTCCACAGACTTACTCTGAATTTATTCTGGGGCAGTTCTGTTCAGTGCGGTGGGAGGAAAAAACAGGGAACTGGTGCAGCTGTGAGGATTCTGACCCTCTGCATCCATGGGATGATTGCCTTGGGTTTGTTTTCTCTTGAATTTTACATTTCTATCACTGTATTGACTCGAGTGTAGCTTAAAAGTAATGCCATTGATGTAAATCAGACCAGAATCGGATCCTGTTACTTAAATTTATTTATTGACAGTTACATAAGTATGTTTTGGAAAGCTTATTTAATATATTTTTCATGTTGGAGTACACATTATGCTATGCATTTCTGTTGTGCATCAGTGTAAAAACTTCTCTGTAGCTCCTTCAGACTAGGAATAGAAGTGTTTCCTATTTTCCCCAAACATCTTAGTCTACATAGATTTTTGCTGTTACTGCTTTTTCCTGTTTTATCATGTTACTTGTTGATCATCTCTGCCCAAATTAAATGTGTGAAGAAGCTGAGACTTCTGTTTCTTGATTTCACAGGTGGTTGCCTTGGGAGATGTTCCTGATGGGACACTGGTAACAGTGATGGCTGGAAATGATGAAAACTACTCTGCAGAACTCAGAAACGCCACGGCTGCCATGAAAAATCAAGTAGCAAGGTTCAACGACCTTCGATTCGTGGGTAGAAGTGGAAGAGGTATGTGTTTCTTCTCAACTACAATTCAGTCGTGTAGTTTCCAGCAGTTAACGTGGCAAGATTTGGCATAGGCCAATTCTGACGGCACAGAATTATCTGTATGTTTTTCCTTGTTTTAGCCTCTCCCAACCTCTGTGTTACTTCAATTTTTAAACAGTAAAATCTTTTGCAAAGGAAAAAAAAATCACATAGACGGCAAGTCATATTTTGACTCTGGAAGCCACCCTGCTAAATTTATAGCAGCACAATATTTAAGTTTAAATAGCATACTTTCAATTTTAAATGAGAATTTTCAGCTTGTGTAAAGACTTACGATCATTTCGAGGCTCCTGAGAACTCTGCAAGGGCTGATCGCTGTAACAGAGTGAGTCAAGCTACAATTACAAGTAATTCCTTCACAGATCTAAAATATTTCTGCGTTCATCATGACCTGATGAAGGCACAGGACACTTTTTCTGACCTTTCTTTCTCTGAAATAGGTGTAGAACAATATGCAGTAGTGCTGTTATTTAACATGCTCCTGCAAAGTGGATAGGATAGACCAGAGCTTAATATCTGACTTACTGTATCTCTGTGATAACCGGTAATTACTAGTGCATAAACAAGAAGGCCTCATGAGTGTGAATGACAAATAAGAGTTGAAGTTGATTTAGAGTAGAACTATATAAAACTGTTGTTAAGAAGCTGCAAATAGAACCTGACGTGCACGGCTCATATCACATGTGAGTAGTCAGGTGTACAAAGCTTGATCCAAAAGCCCGTAAAACCAACAGAAGGACCCTTCCCAACTTCAGTCTTTGGCTCTGGTCCATAATCTTAAACTCCACAATTTCCAAGCAATCATGTTCACCTTTCCATTGCAAGATTATTCTAAGCACTCCCCTTGCATTACTGCCCTTGTTGTTGTGAGTGGAGTTCCTTCGCATGGGTCAGGGAGGTTCAGTCAAACCTGCAGGAGAGAAGCCAGTGAGCTGTTGCTCTGAAGAAGCTCAGAGAAAAGATCAGCTTCTCTCTTTTAAGGTCAGGAATGAAAATCTGTCACATCTTTCATGTGACTTCATATAATTCTTGCATGTTTTTCTTCTATTTCATTTTCATCTTTAAGTAAAATCAGAACAAAACACTGTGGTATTCCAAGCCCAGCAGTGTTATTTAGGGACTGTTCAGTGCTGTAACACTGACCAATCAAAATAATGGTGCTTACTACACTTAAGTAGGTTTTTGTATACCACCTTTTTTGAGCAATTTTTGCAGTGATGTCTTCCTGAACCAGATGAAGTACTTGAGGCTTGCTGATCCCTCCTCATCATTTTCCCCTCTCTCTCTCTCCCCATTTGAGCATCTGAACCATCTCCTGATGCGTGGCTGCACGCATGGTTCTTACAAACACAGAGGGAGTTAAGAGAGTGCTTCGGGAGAGGTACAAAGGTGACCCACTTCTGCTCGCTTGCTCTCCAAATGCTGTATTCCAAATAGGAGATGGGTCAGGCTTCAGGCCGAGGAAGTTGTCCTGATTATACACAACAGCCTTTATTTGCCTTTGAAGTGAAATGCATCTGTAGATGTTCTTCCACTATAAATACAGTCTTTAATTGTGGAAGAGCATGGCGCTATTGAAACATAGGTGCAAGGGGTAAATACATTTTAAAAATAAAATATCAAACCCGTCCCTCTGTATCCTGCAGGATTTTTAGCTGAGGATATAGAGGGACATGTCTTTTAAATCTTTGTTTAGGCTGTCTTCAAAATGCACTTGGTACAAAACACCCGCAGCTGAGAACGTAGCTTCGTAATGCTAGCAAAGAATAATAATAGGGTAATGCAGAGAAAATTATATCCATTTACTGAAAACATGAGAGATGCTGTAATGTCTAAAAGTATCAGTCATTAAACATGTTCATTTGTTATATTAAAGGTACCACCTTTTCAGTAAATGGAATTTGCATTATGATTCAGAGATGACTGTTTAGACGATTCAAATGAATAGCTGGCAAAGTGGCGGAGAAGCTAATAAAAACAAACCTGTAGTTCAGTTCCTGGCCATGGTAATGAAGCTGGAAATCATAACAGAGAACTGCGTGAGTTTCAAGGTCAAAATTCAGTGGCTGAGAGAGAACAGTCCCTATTCATACAGAAAAGCTTGGCAAGGAGCATCGTGGAGCTCCTTCCCTTGCTATGAGCTTTTGCTAGTAGCTGGGCACTTGCGCACGGACATAAACCTTGTATGTAGTATGATATTCAGGTGCTCGGGATCCTTTAAGCAATGGAGCAACTTGGGAATGCTGCATGCTGTTAGTCAGTCTTCGAGGTTAAATCTCATCACCTCCATTGGCTGCCCATCTTTGGAGCTAGTGACTAATGTATGCTTATGTTTACTCCTCGAACAGAGGATTGTTTTTCAAAGGTGGGGATTGTTTGCATTTGGTACGGGACTTCTGAGGTGCTGTTCTGTTGAATTTGTATAGAGCCTAAAGCATAAGGTAGCTGCTTCAAAGGGCACTGCTTCCTTTGATACTTTGCTAGAAGAAACTTTGTTTGCTGTGTAATATTTGAGCTTGAGTAAGTTCAGTTGCCACCAGTGATAATGCGATCTCGGAGTATTATGTGAACAGTGACTGAAAGTTCACGTTAGTTACAGTCAGTGTGGATACTCTTTCTGTACCTCGGGTGATTTAAAATTCCTGCCGGAGAATAAGGAATCGTTTTGACCGGTGATAATTCCCTGTGCATTGGTTATCGCCCAGGTGTCACCATCCCCATTAATAGCCGTACCGAACTGATGACAAGCCACTACACTCTCCCTTCAAAGAGAGTGGGAAATTGTCATTCTTGACGTTCTTAATAGATAGTTTAAATTTTCTTCCGTGGGCTTTAAATGAAATTTAGCAAGTCTGACGACTGTGTCAAAGGCAAGACTACTGTGCACATTTTCCTATCAGTGAATAAGCGTCTGTGTGCTGACGGTGAGAGAGTTACAGTGATTCCACCTGTTCGGGGTCTGATGCTGCTTGTGGGTCAGGCAGACACACCAACCAAATATTGGCCAAAGCTTGAAAAAATGAACTTCTCATTTCTCATCTAAGAGCAAGCAGTTGCCCTGTGTTGGCCTGTGCCCATCACCCAGAATTACAAAAAAAAAAACAATCCAAAACACTCATTTTCTCAACACTCTGAATGGGAGCTGAGAATATTGCAGGTCATCCGAAACATTGAGTTCTTGTATAAAAGCAATTTTACTCACTTTCCCAAACAAAACAGATTTACATTGGAATTGGCTGAGGTCCAGAGTTACTATTCCTCACCCTGGTTTGAGAATGCTACTGGGAAAACCTGCCTGTCTGGCTTGCAAGCCCAAGTAAGTAATTTCTTGAAGAAAAATGTAGTTTAAAACTTCAGCCAGTCTCAGCCCTCCCCTTGACAGTTTACCTGGTTAAACAAAAAAATTAATCTTTATTTTTCGCCCTTTGTTCGCAGAAATTTCAAACTTCAAAATGCTACTACTGCAAAATACCCTGTGTTCTTAATGCATAATGAAATGGTTTATTACTATGATGAAATAAATCTGATGCAAAAAGCCTGACACCAGAGAAGTTCATTGGATAAAATTAAAAATAAATAGTTATTTTGGAGAGAGAAAACTTTGTGGCTCAGTAAGCATTACATATTTTCCTTGTGGAATCATTAGTCCCAGTAACTATCTTCTTTGTAGAATGTAACATTAAAAAAACCCAACAAATAAACATGTTTTCCAGATGAAAATAATTATTAATAGGTTATCATAATAGTAGGTAATGGGGAAGTGTCTTGGCTTGCTGTAGAAGATCTCAATCTAGAACTGAGAGCTGGAGCTGGAGCTTCGTGACAGTTTTCCAGCAAGGCCTTTTTAGAAAACTGCATGTTGGAATGGACTGAAAATGAAGTCTAGGTATATATTTCCTACTATCTATCAGGATTAGAGTAATGAATAAGTTTTGTGATAGTTTTCAATTTCCACAGAGCCAGAGAAGTATTCCTTTTTCACAGGTGTAGCTGGTAGGAGAACATGAGAGAGATTACTAAGCACAATCAGATGTTTCTGCCGTCAGGACTCTTCCTTCTGGCTATAATTTTGGGGAAGAAAAATTGGTTGAAGCTGCAATCTCAAAAATACATAAACCCCAGAAATTACTGGCCTGGATTCTGAGTCCAATTATTTTATTGGTCTTCTGAAGTCAGGATTTTGCTCCTTCTGTGCAGCTTCGGTTTGCGGTTGCATTGTTTGAACACTTTGTTAAAATTTGCTTTATTTTTTTACTTAAACGCATTCAGAATTATAAAAGTATGTGCAAAACAGAGGAGGATGCTATTCAACAGGATCATAAAATCAGTATTAAGCAGCCAGTTGGGTCCCAGTCCAAGCCATTGGAATGCTTTAGGGGACGCAGTATCAGATACTGGAGTAACAATGGGCCATGCTTGCCAGATGAGACAAAAATAGAAGAAATCTAGCAGGAATCAAAACTGAAAAAAAGGGTCAATTAGTAGAGTTTAAAACCAACTGATTATTTATACCGTGGGCTGATAAGGGTGTGGTTCTGGCAGGATGCTACAGCCAGCAGGAGGGCAGCTTGGCTGTGGGGGAATGGGCAGCCCTTTTGAGCCATCCTGCAGTCACGTCCTTGTGTTGTGTCACACCGGGCACGGACAAGGCTGGCACAGCCTTTGGGGTGGGAAAATTTGGCAATTGCTCGCCTAGGGTTACTGCTATAAGTCCTGCTGCCTGTGGGCATCAGCCAAAGGAAGGGGCTGCCCTGCTGGCCCTCGCCCCAGCCATGTGTTAGAGGGTCGACTTTTTTTATAGGATTCTTCTCCTTTCAGTCTGGTCTGAATGATGATTTTTTTCCCTAAAAGACAGAGTCCAGAAGCAGTAATTTTATTTTTAAGTGGCTTAGGGTTGCTTAGTTGTGTCGTTAATTTTAAATCAAGATTTCTGTGTAAACCAAGTAGCCGTGGAAGAATTC